TTTTATGTATGAAGTCATAAAAAGCTGTCTCCCCCACTTTCTAATATCTAATTCTTTTATGTAGAATGATCGGAAATCGATGAAAAAATTTTTGATCCATTTTGGTCTGGAGCTCCAATTCTGGATAATTAGCGAAACTTTCAGTTTTTTTTTTTACTAAATTTTAACACTAAATATAAAAAAAAACTTTAGCACTGTTTGAGTAAAGGAATCTACAAGAATATCCTCGGAAACGGTGTTCTTTGTTCCTATGGATAACGCATGCTTGAAATACAGAAATATAGAAAAGTGTTTACTTCTTTCAAGTACTTTGTACTATTTTGTTCGTCAATTTATGCATTAACTAAAGGGTAAAGTTCTCGAGTTTTCGTATTCACAGCTATCAACACTATTTTCTTTAAAAATCGTGACAAGTTCACATGTTTGACCGAAAATTTCGGAATTAAGACAATTATTTTGTCGGTAAATAAAAAAAAATGTGCTTAGAAGAATTATTAAAAAAACGAAGTGTCAGATTAAATGAGCAAGACCAAAATCAATCCCGAGACTATAAGCAAGACTAAGACCAAAACTTGAAGTATTTGTACAAGACCAGACAGAATAAGCACGACAATGACCAATACCAATCCTTTGATCTGCCGAAAGCAATAGCGCGGTAATAAATCATACACCGATTGGCACTTTTATGACCGCGTAACAAAATAATTTCGAGAGCTTTTCAAAAAAATGAAAATCTGTCAATAAAATTCGACAAGAATCATACAACTCTGGTCAACTATTGAAGTCGGTCGTATACATCGTTGTGGAAATACGAACAAGGAACAAAATACAACGAATGCAATAGTAATGTCAAATAAAATGCTTTTTCTTGCAATTAAATTGAATTAGTAATTCAATAATTCACTGTCACCATCAGTTAGACTATCTCTTACTAATTTGTTTGACTTCTTTTTCCGAAGAACTGTCACGGAAAAAATAAAAAAATTATCTATGAATAATGAAGTGGTTAATGTCGTCAGTTTCAACAGTGAAATTTGATAGAAACGATAAAGCGTCGAGGACCGATTTGATCGATATTCCATTAGAAAAGTATCGCATGTCCCCTGTTGTTGTACAAACATTAACAACCAACTCATTGGTAGTCAGTGCAAATCCGATATTCCCGACTCTCGAGTGCTTAGTTTCCTCCCTACTCCTCTTGTTGTTGCTTCTTCTAATACCACATTATAGTTTAATGTAAATCGGTCAATATGCATAAGGACATTTTGTATACAATGGAAAGTATATAACGATGTAACAAAAATAAATCGGTTCTTTAAATCAAACAATTAATTTTGAAATTCGAAAAATTGTGAGAAATGAAGGCAGGGCCGGACTGGCCCGGGAGGCAGGGGTTCAAATGCACCCCGGACCAAACCGGACCAAATGACAATGTGAAAAAAAAGAGAGAAATTAAAAAAAGCTTAATAATTTTTTTAATAGTTTTCAATAATATTCGATAGNTTTATAAAATTTTCGAAAAATAAAAAATTTTTAAAAGAGCAAAGAACGAGGCAAAGACAAACGCAAATTTTCTCCTAACTTCTTAAATTTATTTAAAAACGAGTGCTGTTAAAATTTGTGCACTTTCCCTTCTCAACCAGGCCATTTGGTTACATCGCACCCCGGGCCAAAATCTTCAGTCCGGCTCTGGATGAAGGACTAAGTTAGAAACAGAAATAATAAAGAATAGACGAAGATTACGTTACTAAAAGCCTTTTTTTCACAGTTAACAACAAAAAAGTCTCAACTATTGATTAATATAAAATTTACCATAAATTTAACACGATCTTCATGATTACGATAAAATTTATTGTTATTTCACTGTAAATTTGACGTGAACTTTTTAGCAAGAAAAGAATTAGTAAATCACATTCGTCATTCCCTGACTTGAGTATTGATGATTCTAATGATTAGATGCCTTATGACATGACTTAAGAGTCATTAAATAATTTATTAATTACCTGTGCTGCCATTATCCTTTGTCGTTCCTTGATTAAGCTGCACTTGGCGCAATTGCAACTTTTGTATATACACTGTTTTTTATGTCCTCTCAGAGTCGATATCATTCCGTGATTTCTACACCTAGCACACTTTGGAACCCTTGACGAACGACCATTTGATAACATTTTCGTTCTTTGTTTCTGTAACCGCTTAATTTTTGATTTAGTTGTCTATCTGGCTATTCTGTACACAACTGAAATATTAAAATATCTTCTCAATTTGTGTAAATCAACAAAGAAGAAAGGATTTTTGTAATACAGTAAACGGTTCATAAAATAACGGGAAATTTAGGTCTGAAACTTACTAATAAAGAAAATTTTTAATTTGTGTGATTCAAGATAAGCAATAATTTTGATTGATTTTTCGATACTTTAATTATCTAGTCGAAAAAAAACATATATAAATATGTTTTATACACATGTATCATAGAAATTATTATTTTCAAATGCATATTTAGAGCTACAACTAAAAAGAAATTGAAAACTGATTAAAATCCAACGGTGCAGCATTCGTAAATTCCTTATGGCACCTCTAACTATTGTTGAACCAAAGGAATCAAGTTTTAATTTATTAATGTTTTTGAATGAAAAAAATATGAGTAATACAATTCAGACGTTAGTAGTCATTAGATATACAAGTTAAGGCATTTCAAAACTAATAGAATTTGTTGGTTTTTTACTCTGTTACACTTTTTTTTGACCCTTTGAACATCTAAAGGACAATAGGTTTTTCTAAATTCATAATATGGCATTTTAATAGCAGAGATCATATATGAGTCGCAAGGCATAAAATAAATTTTGAAAACCAACACCGATAAAATGATTGACCAAGCCTCCCTAAAGAAAAAGAATTACCTTAAAAATGTATAAAATAGTTTAATGTAGTTAGGAAGGATATTTTTATAAATTACAGTTACTAGACATTTAGATTCAAGTTTATTTTCAGTATCGGTTTTAAACAACTTTTATATTCATATTTGAATATTGTGTGAGGTCCAAAAATTGTGAAATAGGGGTAGGTACTCTGAGTTAGATAATAGAATTTAATTGTAAAAAATACTTTAAAATCTAATTGAACATGTTACAACCATTAGGTATATATTTGAGATAATAAACTTCAGATGGATTTTCACTATAATTTGAACATATAAAAGAATTTCCATCAAGTAAATATAGANTAATAATTTATATTAATAAATTTAAAAATTAAACAGACGGTTTTTAAATCCCAACAGTATCTTGCAAATACTCTTTTTCCTTTAAATTTTCTTCGTTATTTTTATTAAGACTTACCTACCACAAATCCACAAAAGAAAATTTTCACAGAATCAAAAATTAAAGATTATGATAGCACAGTAACCACAAAACTTGCAATTTTTAAGCACGGTCACTTTGCCAATTTAAGAAACCATAAAAGAATACAATAAACTTGGATACGGTTCAGAGATTTCAAAGATAAAGATAATTGAGAGCGCCAGGATGTCCAATGGAAAATCGGGGATGCTGCGATCTGTCATAAGAGGGTGTCGGGACGACCAACCAAATGAATCGCTACATCGAGCCCGCCCACATTCGCGCACATCTTTATTAACATTTTGTTTCTTCTTCTTTCTCTCATGTCATCATTTACAAACGATGCTGCTTGGATACATTGTTTATATATTTCGTCGGAAACCATCAACATATATCGCTAATAGAATGTTTATTTTTAAACCGCACTTATTACTTACAGTTGATATTTTCAAAACATATAGGTACATATAGTGACTTTCAAGATGCCAAAAAGTAAGTTACTCATTTTAATTTTTACCTTTAATAAAATTTCTTCGGCAAATTCATTGAAAGAGAAATGTACCTAATAGGTATCGTCACTATTTCAGCAGGAGTAGGTAGTCTTGGTCTTGTCTTGTCTTAATCCTGCACATTTAGCGATACCAAGATCGAGACTAAGACTTATCTATCAAATCCAAGATACTAACACTAAAAATGTACGGATAGGTTTGAAATTGCAACGTTATTACGAACGGAGAACACGTTATATATAATGTTATTAATCTTTCCAAACTATTACGATAAGTCTTGCAAAAAACTTACAAGAACCGATCGCGTAAGAATTAAGAGGACCAAGACCAAAACTACATTTATCTTGTCTTGGTCTAGCGTTTACTCATTATTATGGTAAGGACTAACCAAACAACCCGATTTTTGAATAAATTTATTTTGTTTAGGTCAAACTAGTTCTTAACTTTTATTTAAGGATAAGCTAGTTGGCCTAGGCGAAACTATTTTCATCCGAATTAGATTTGGCCGCCGGTAACAGAGACAACTTTCATACAAAACTAATCAATACAGTGATTCTTTTGCAACAAATTGTAATTGATAAGTCTTGTAAAAACAAAGACTAATTATACAAGGACAAGACCAAGATCAACACTATATTGGTCTTATGCCTTGCTCTAGCATTTACTTATAATTATGGTGAAGACTGAAACGAAATTTAAGAACTAGACTCTTCTATCTATCTTTAATGCTACCTCATAATCGTCTGATAGATATTAAAATATCTAAAATCCGTCGAAAATGAAGTCCTAAAATTCAAATTCATTTAATGTAAACATGTGATAGGTACTAACTAACGAATACTAACAATGTTAGTCGAAGATTAATTACTAACACACATTTTCTAATAAGAAAAATTCAAATCAGCTGCAAAAATACAAAAGGAAACCAACGGCTGGCAATTTTTAAGAAATAAGAGAAAATATGTTACCACATAAAGCTTGTTATGATCAACTCAATGACTATGTAATGAAATAAAATCAAAAATTAGTAACTATCAAATTTTAAAAACCAAATTAATATAATAAAACGAAAAAGATTATTTTTCGCACTTGTTTATCAGCAGTATTGTTAAATTTAATTATCAATCGCATTAAAAATCTTCGTCTTTTGTTTCAGTTTCATCACAACTGTTGGGGTAAGTACGTTTTATTTCTCTTTAAAACTGATATTATAAACGAAACTGTTTTTGAAAAGGAAAGAAAGTAATGTTATGTACAAAAATTCTAACTATCTAATAAGGTAGAGCTTTAATTTTTGGACAAAAGCTATGTTTGCAGATAACTATAAAATAGTCGTTCGTTATATTTCTTTAACTACATAAGTATTGAGTATAGATACGAATGAAATTTTATTGCAATTGAATATTATAAAGCAGCATAAATAAAAAATGGTGATAATCTTAGTTTAAAATAGAAACTACCAAAATATGTAATTCTTAATACTAGTTAAAGTTAAGGAGCATTCGTAAGTATCTAAATATGTTTTAAATTTCGAGATACATTTTAGATACTGAAATCGGTCATTTGGGGATTAACAATAAATCTAAAGACCTATCTAATTAAGTCGTAGATTAGAGATGGAGGATTGATATAAAATATGTTACGTACTTCAAGTACTTTGTATTTTACCATTTGTAAGTAGTAAGCTTGCAACACTATTAAGATTATTCATCAGTTTAATACAGTAAATAAGCACCTTGAGTGAATGGATATCACAAATGCATTGTCTACCTCTTTGGGATTACTCATGGTCATTATAGGACATCGGGTAGTTAGTTCAAATGGGTAATTTTCTCAAAAATCTATACTGCTCCTTTTCTATGGTATAAGACTAATATTCAAAAAAAAATTACCAAATTGGTAAATGATACAACATACGATCTAAGTAAACTAAAAGATAATTTACCGAGAACATCATTGTTGCCAGTAAATCGTCGGTGGACGCTCTAGGAAAGAAACAGAAGTATTTCAGATGTTACAAATGATAAGGAATAAGAAACGAGAGCGAATTATAGACGTCAATAAAAAATAGGCAAATTAGATAGGTAGAACTCTTTTTCAGACATGAAATGCTAGTAAGAAACATATTAAAAGCAGAAACAGGAATGAAGAGATGTAGTAGTAGATCTAGATTATATTACTGTTCGCAAAAGAAAGAGATGAAAGTTCATCTAGTATTCCTGAAAAGCGAAAAATGGCTCAAAATGAGATGAAGGGGAGGTACGTTTCCAATGGGTCTTTGAGTTGAAAGTCTTATGATGATGATGCTATTGATAACAAAATCGGAAGTTATCTAATATCATCGAAAGTCGCTCAAAAACAATATCTGGTAAAATTTCCCGAAAGAGTTCCAGGTCAGAACTCCAGCGTGGGTGAACCAAAATTTCAAAGCCCACCTGCAGGACAGGCACGTTGTGCAGAAGGAGGACATCTTTTTTTGACTTTGACTGCTTCCTTTAACCGCTCTAGGATTGAAGCAAAGTATTATCCAGTTATGGAGACACCTTTATCTTTATAATCGATCAACAGGATCTCATGACTTTCCCAGCCGACTGTGACACCTTAAACTTCTAGTGGTGTGCCTTTTTTATTCCACTGCATAGAAGAAAAAGTAGGGAAAGAGCGAATATAAAGATAGGAGACGAAAAATTAGAACAAGTGGCTGATTTTAGACATCTAAGAAGTCAGATATGTCAGGATGGAAGGAGTAGTAGGGATATAAAGCAGAGGATAGCGCAGGGTCGTGTCGCGTTTAATAAAAAGAAGTCACTTCTATGCTCGCGAACGGTTAATTTAGAAATTCGAAAAAGGTTGTTAAAGGTATATGTTTGGAGCACGGCGTTGTACGGGTGCGAAACGTGGACAGTGGACGCGGCGGAAAAGAAAAGTCCTTCGAAATGTGGTGTTATAGGCGGATGATGAGGATAACGTGGTTAGAGAAGGTTATAAATGAAGAGGTATTAAAAAGAATAGGAGAACAGAGGACTCTATGGAAGTCAATAAGAAATAGGCGAGATAGGTTGATAGGACACCTTCTCAGGCATGAAGGTCTAGTCAGAGACATATTAGAGGCAGAAACAGGAGTTAGGAGGGATAGAGCTAGACCTAGATTAGATTACTGTTCGCAAATAGTTAAGGATGTGGGCTGTTCTAGTTTAAGGGAAATGCGAAGTTTAGCTCAGGATAGGAAAAAGTGGAGGTACGTGTCCAACCAGTCTTAGGACTGACGACCCTATGATGATGATGATGATGAGTCATCTCGATCGGCCGGGCTGGCCGTGGGTCGTCTTCAAACGAGTCCTTGCCTTGCTTAAAGAGGGTATGCCACTTGTAAACCATGGTTTTACCAGGGCAAGGGTCCCCGTAAACGGCTAGCATCTCTTCCAGTATAGTTTGAATTGATTTTACTTGCTTGGTAAGAAACTTTATAACAACGCGGTACTCGATTTTCTCCATATTTCACAATTTATTCTCGATTGACTCGTTTGGCCGACCATAGTTCAAGGACTACTGACCTAATGACGATAAAACTTGGCATTTATACTAATAGTGAGTTTCTTAATTCGTAATGACTTGAGTAAGTACCCCGACTAATGACCCACCTACCCATTCCGCGAACTTAAAAACGCACCCTGGTAAATACTTGAATGTACGGATATGTGACCGCTTACTCGTACATAAGGTAATTCAACTACGGGTTGTTTTATAAACTGGAAGTCCAAAAACGCAATATGCAACGTATTATAATACTGTCAGTTTGTTAAATAAACACAATTCCATTAGATGTTGCATCACATATGTCACTCTCACGGACCACCCAGATACGTTAGCACTTTCAAGTGACGGACGGCCAGATCATGTTGCCCGACAGGACTAAAAAACGAACCAGTAACACCCTTCTTATCCAGTGCATGCGACATTTGTGTGGTATATTTGCAGTAAGTATAACAATTTGTTTGAAAAAAAGATTTACTACAAATGATATTTGTGTACATATGTATATATTCCTGGTTCAGTAAGCAGCGTCGGAATTAAAAATCATCAAAAGTCTAATGGTCATAAATAAGATGCTTGGACCCACCCCTATTAGATAACTCTAACCCTAACGGGTATTTGGTGTTTTACAAAATTTATACAAGCTACTGTACTGATACGTCCACGGCCGTTGTCCAATTTACTACTGATTTTCGGGCTTATTGACCGTCGCTCGTCTAAAGATTTTTCTTCTCTGCGTTTTACCGGTATTTTCAAGAAATTTTATCAATACAACTAGGAGATTAAAGTAGGAACATACAGGTGTAAACTCTTTATAACGTCACTCGATTTAACGGCAAATTCCTTAAAACGTCGAAATTGCTTGACTTTGGTTGGTTTACTTTGTTTTCTATATAATATTACAGTCTATATAGCGTCACGCTCACTCTATTTAACGACAACAATGCGGCATTACAAATCATTGAGCAGTACTTTCTAAGTTGCCGAAATAGATAAGAACTGCAGCTGTGTACGTTATTGAAGAAGACGATCCTGTCCCTCCACCAAGCATCAAACAAGCACTTGATGCAGCGAAACTATTAAAAAAATACTTTTTATATAATCAAATTGATCCAGCAGTATGAGTAAGATACGTAACAAAATACAATTAAAATATTGGAGCAGCAAAAAACATCAGACGAAGATAACAGGCTATACGCAATATATGAATAATAATGTTCGTGTGCAAAATGGGTACTATATTGGTAAATGCATATTATTATAGAATAGTAAAATGATATCTTTTATTTCTTTCCATTTAACGACCACTCTTTATAACGCCGAAAAATGTTCAGTCCCTTAAGTGTCGTTATATAGAGTTTACACTGTAATTGAACAATTACGACTAAATATCTTTTACTACCATCTAATACCTGCTTACAATTATATAGAAAAAACAGAAGTTACACGATTTTTTTTGTTATTCATATTTCAATTCATTTTCTCATTTCTTAAGTTAGAAAGTGTATAATGCCTTAAAATCTCTCTCCAAAGTAGAGATTGTAGGTATCATAATTTTATCATGAAAACCCTATTCTTATAAACATAGTTAACAGATATACTTTTTAGCTTCGTGACACGCTGTGTAAAATTTTCATAGTACATAATTTAATTTTAAAAGACATCTGCTTCATCTAATATTGAGTGAATCAATAATCTTCCAATAAAATGCTAGGTTTCCAACGGAGAAATATTGATGAACTTTTGCCCAGTATTTTTTCTTTGCTACAATGAGTAGAAACTTTTGAGGAACATACGTAAACTTCTTATTTCCACTCATTATCATCATAAGGTCGTCAGTCCTAAGACTGGTTGGACACGCATCTCCACTCCTTCGTATCCTGATCTAATCTTTGCATTTCCCTAAAACTAGAACATCCTACATTACTCCAATCTAGGTCTACCTCTACTCGTCTTAACTCCTGTTTCTGTCTTCAAATGGAAGGAGTAGTTAGTGGTAGTGTCCATGTGTTTTGAAGAATTTCCATCATCGATGTAGAATAAGTAGATATTAAGACAAGTTGCTCCAACAATTAAAAAGAAAGGCAGAATCATACACACACCACGATTTCTTCCAACAGGCGATTCCTATCTAGCAAGATGCAGCATGTGTTTCTACCATGGTAGCAACACAAATTTGTTTCTCTATGTTGCCCGTTTCTTTTGAGATTTACGCTCACAATGGAAACTGGTGACAAATAGAAACTGTCGACTTCTGTTACCGAAACATAGACACTTCTGGGACCTTAGTGAAACATTTTTCGGGAACAAATAACAGCAACACAGTTCTTCAATGTTTCTTCTGTGGAAAGCTGACTTAGGAACGCGTATGTGGCCCATAACCAAAATGTTCTTTTAAAGCTTTGATCGCATGCAATCAAATATTGAAAAAGAAACTAATGTAACCTAATCCATGTCTGATCTAACATGGTAAGATGGAGTGATCAGTTACTAGTAAATCTATTGAATTGGAACTCAACAAAAAAAAATCGACAACTAGAACTGGTCGAAAAATACAAAAGAAGAATGACAATAGGTGATAATAAATATTTTCTCTAAAAAGTAATCGTTAATACTGTTAGTTTATTTTATTAAAATCACC